CTTTTATTTTTTTCTTGCTATGTAACTTTTATCATTTTTATAAATTTTGCAAATATTTACCTACTTAAAATTTTCTTAGATTAAGGACCTGCCCGAAACGCTGCGCATACAGTGGCTTCACAAGATTGTAATTACTATGCTATGTATCCTCACAATCCCAATGTATCTTCTAGTATATAAATAAATAAATAAATAAATAAATATTTTAAATTGGCTTGTTCATTATCACGTCACGTCACGTTACGAGGTGAAAACACACACTAGCATTAATTTTGACTTGTTATTATAAGAAGAAGAATGAAGACTGACTTACCCTGTTATTGGGGAAGAAAGGATGTTTGCATGTTGATCACCTTATGTTATGTTACGTTAGGTAGACACGCTTACATTTCAAAATTATATTTATTTTGGCAGTGTTACGTTCCGAGGTGTGAAACACACAGTAACACTGAATTGATTTGATTTTGTTATAAGAAGAATGAAGACTGCCTTACGACGAGACTCGTTACTCTTTAAAGTTATTTTGAGAAAGAGTGATGTTTGCACATTTTTTAAATATTATTAGTATTGTCTTTGTAAAAGTCTTAGTGTTTAATAAAGAATAAAATTTATATAAAGGTTTTATGCCCTTAACTACTTATTGTTGACCTGACTACCGAGACATGCATGTAGGTGCCAACCTGACGGGTGTCAAGTGAATGGGGGAGGGGGGAGGGGGAGCGGTCAGGGGCTGCTGCTTCTCTGATGTAAACACACAAGACCCTCGTCGTCTCCAGTAACCTAAAGATAGTTGTATACTCCAGATGTTCGAGCCCCTGCTAACACTCTCCAGGTGATGAACTCCTATAACTCAGAGGATGAGACCTCTTGTGGCTGATAAGGTGGGCAGGCAACTATGAAAGCTGTGGTGGCACAAGGAGCAGATACACTCACCTACTTCTTTACTGTGAAAAAACCTAGCAACCTAAATGTGGAACTGCCTACACGACATCCCCATTTATTAAACTAACACACATAAACAGAATGTGTGTGTGTGCTCATATATTATTATTATTATTATTATTATTATTATTATTATTATTATTATTGTACTCAATGGTAAGGTGCTGGAGGGAGCACACGAGGGGATAATGTTGTCATAATACTCCCCCCTCCCACTCTGCTACTCCAGTCACACGACCGTCAAACAGGTAAGGCACCCGAACGCTCGCTCCCCCACCCATGTGGTATGTAGCACAACTCATGCCCTATGTGGTGTGACATGGCCCATGTGGTAGGTATGTGGCACTCCATTCTGGTCTAGGCTGAAGGGTAAGGGAGGGGAGGGAGGGGTGAGGGGGACCTCCTTTGTTTACAAAAAAATATTATGGGTGCTTCGATCACAGCTCAGTTGCCGGTGGGACATCCCAATGTGAACTCACTCGTGTATGATACGAAAACTAATGGGTCCTCTTAGACCAAGTGTTGAAGGGTTAGGACCAGACGCTGAGACGATAACGGTGCTGGAAGCTATGGTAAGAAAATTATACGTTTTTGGTAAAATATACACACTTCACTCTGCCATTTACCCTTTCCTACATACAATAGACATATTGTTTAAAAAAAACGAGTGTGTGAGGTGCACTACCACTCCCAGCCAAAGCTCCTGGGTGGTCCTCTTCACTCCTCTCTCCCCCTCACCCCTCACCTACTTCGCACACGCTTCCCTAATCGAACACCTAAAAAACTCGTCCTCCTAGGCTCGTCTTCCCATGGGAGGGTGCCCCCTTCTCCGCCCTCAACATATCCTTCTCCTTCCTACATACTTTAACTATATATCCACATATCATGCTTAACTCTATGTTACATACTCATACACATTCATATTACATCTACTCACATGCACACCTGTTCCTATACTTACACTTTTATCCACACGACTCAACCCCCAATGAGACAACGACCCGGTGTGCCCAGCCACCCTCTGCGACCCATAAACACCCCACGCGACAACGTACGCGCGCCCCCGGGGATCCCCCGAACCCCACGAGACTACGGACGTGTGCAACACCTCTGCAGGGGCCTAACTGGCTCACCTGCACAGGTGTTGTGCACGGTCGTAGTCTCAATTCACGCTACTCTCCCTCACTCACCCGTCCCCCTCCCTCACTTACCTGTCCACCTCCCCCAACAGGGTGTTCAATGCTGAGGCCAAGTACAAGCTCCTGTCCCGAGTGATTGGGGTGACACTGTCCACTGACCCCATCCTGCTGCCCAGTGGGGTCGCTGACCCCAAGATCCCCCGCTGTAACCCTGACCCCAGCGTGCTCACCGTGTACCCCATACTGGTCACACTGCTCCACCTCGATCCCACCGTCATCCTCAGGAAAACTCTATTCCACAATGATGAAAACATCGTATACGTGAGTATTGCGTCTTGTGGTTAGTGGCGTGGTTGTGGTTAGTGTTGTGGGCAGAGAGGTGAACAAATATCTATTAATACAGAGATTTGTTATCATTAGGTTAGGCTACAAATAATACTGTGTTGTAGAAGGTATTGCAAGCACCGAAACCAGTGTTTTTCGCTGTAATAAATTATTTCATTGTAAACTAAATTTGGAACTTCTCAGCAGATGTAGACGATGAGTCACAATAACGTGGCTGAAGACATGATCACCAAACACACCAGAAGATCCAAAAGAGACGACGTTTTGGTCCGTCCTGGACCGTTATCATGTGTGATCTTAAAAATGGTCCAAGACGGACCGAAACGTCGTCACTTCTCCATTTTCTGAGGTGTGGTTTGGTCGTCATTTCTCGCCAGAAATCCGAGAACAGCGACTTGCTTCTGCTAGTGACTTTTTCCAACACCAAACTCCATGAAGGAGGCTACGCTGGCAAATCAACCATGTTCCTTTTTTAATTTCCTTTGTTACAGTAGATTTCTGAAGTAATGATTGTAGATTGTTCTTTTTAATTATTAAGTAATTCTACAGTTTTAAATTAATAATTTTAATTCGGAAGATCTCAGATTTTTATTTAATTTAGTTATTTTTTTAATTGACTCAGGGAATTAAGTTGAGTAATTCCAACAGCCTAAGACCACGTCATGGTAAAAATAATGCAATCTGGGACCCGACTGAAACCTCTAAAGTTCCCGAGGCTTACACTGCCTAACCAGGCCAGGAGGAGCCGACTTGATAAGGGGATAGAAACCTCGTGGTTTCTTAATTTTCTGATATGTGGTTTGGTCATCCATATATAGCACATATTGATCATATGGTCATCAATATATAGCACTTATTGATTATATGGGCATTGTGACGGTAACGCGTTGGTGTTCGGCTGTTCAAAGCTAGGGGTATGGCCTCGTCACATAGAATAAAAAAAATAGAAAATCTGGAACTTTGTCTGTGGTAAGGTAAGGAGAAGACACACAAAACACAAGTAAATTTTAACAATGAAATTTTAATTACGTTAGATAAACAAAACATGAATAAAATGGACAGCTGTGCAATATACAATAAAATGAGAGGTGCGGGAATATTGGCTTTAAGCTATCACCTCTCTTAGTACACGTAAGCCAAAGCTCAGTCTACCAGGAAGAAGTGTTAACCGTATGAAAGCACTGAATATTCTGAGGACTGAGGTCGTGGCGGCCCCAGACATCAAGTAGTATGGTGGGTGGAGTGCAGTTGCAGCCAGACCGACGGCCATCAGCGAGGAGCCGGCAACAAGACAGGTAGTTTGGCGGTTTGAGGCTGAGCAGGTATTCCTGGCTGCATACGTTTTGCTCTCTGGCAAACCTTGGAGATGTTGTTGTCGTTGTTGGACATTTCTTCCATAGTAGTTTTATATATTTGTAACGACGTATTTTTGGAGTGAAGAGCAGGCTCAATCTCTTGAAGGAGATTATCGTCACAGCATCCATATATATCATGTACTATATAAGACCAAGGAATGCTTAAGTTTGAAATTTAGCTTTATTTCTGACCTCTAAAAATTTAAGTACAAAAGATAACTTTTTTGGTGGTCCATCACTGCATATTGGTACTTTCTGGTGGTCCATCACTGCATATTGGTACTTTCTGGTGGTCCATCACTGCATATTGGTACTTTCTGGTGGTCCATCACTGCATATTGGTACTTTCTGGTGGTCCATCACTGCATATTGGTACTTTCTGGTGGTCCATCACTGCATATTGGTACTTTCTGGTGGTCCATCACTGCATATTGGTACTTTCTGGTGGTCCATCACTGCATATTGGTACTTTCTGGTGGTCCATCACTGCATATTGGTACTTTCTGGTGGTCCATCACTGCATATTGGTACTTTCTGGTGGTCCATCACTGCATATTGGTACTTTCTGGTGGTCCATCACTGCATATTGGTACTTTCTGGTGGTCCATTGTAACATGGGGGGGGGGGTTATCATCTCTGCTCTTCACTTCAATCCCCTTCACCCTTACCCGTATTCTATTTACTTCTCTTCTACCGAGGGACCCCAGAGCTACTTTAAGCCGAATCCTACGCCACTTGGTCTTAGCCGTTTTGACCGGCTAAGATTCTACAGCCTCACGATGTGGTACTAGACTCCTAGCCATCCCTAGAATCTCCTTCTGCTGCCACCACCAGACCATTAACACGAAGCGCAATAACCGGGGTCTGGACCGATTAAGCACTCAATAAACCTTGGGGCTTGATCCTCAGTTATTTGGAATAGGAGGGAAGAATCTACGTTAAGTGTGGGGAATTATAGCAAACAAAGGGATAGCTGAACTCTTACGCTTTGTTAGGCTTGCGGCCCAACTAAACTCAGCCTCGTGGATACCACGTGACAAGGACATGAGACATGGAAATAATGAAATGCAAATTACAACTAATTGGTTTATTTAATCAAAATCTAAATAAAAGCACTCCCTATAGTTAACACTCCCTAGAGGCATGATATGAACTATTTTCCTATACAAAACTATAGCAGACTACCTTTTACTGCAACCAGCTAGATGTAATGCTGATCGTGGGGGGAGAGGTGGAGTTGGGGTACCTCTCCCAGTTGTTGACTGGCCCACACTGAATCTCCCTCGCTCTGCCTGCCTCACTGAAGCCAGAGCTAGGGGTATTCCTACGCCAGGCTCACGAAGTTTACTAGCAGGGTTTAAGGTGAACAACTAATCTCTGTTGCACTGAACAACCCAGATGGTTGAACTCTTTTAAACTGAAGGTAATTGCACAGGCATCTTAGGGATAGGCTATTTCCAGTTACAAAATGGCTATTTGACCTTTGAGAATTACTAAATGTGGAAGGCTTTGGTGACCTGTGACCGCGGGGTCATCAAGATTGCTCCGCGTCCGAGGCTAGTCCCGGCTAGTGACGTCACTGATGGTGACTTACTCAGTATTCCGACAATCGAGAATACTTTTGATACTTTAAACAGGAATACTATTGAATACAATTTGAATGAAGACTTGAATTTCTCTAAATTACTGAATTCTGTAAAATAATTCATTATATGTTGCTTAAGACAAAGGCGCCGGCCATTTTGTGACCTAAACTGCTAATCCCAGGAGAGATGCTTTGTGCTTCCAGAGTCAGCTCACTACCACTTGACTCCAAACTTTCCAAACCTCCATCTTGAGATGATTACACGTAGATTTCCCATAGTCTATGAGAAACCATACTGAATAATTCCTACAACAAACCTAGTTTGTTACACCATCACTGCATATTGGTACTTTCTACTATATAGTTACTATGAGTACTATCATTGGAGGAGGATGGGTTGCTCAGGTTACAGTAAGGGATATATTTATACTAGAAGAGAGCCTGTCTGTCTGTTCAAAGTTGGAGGCCATACGCTTGGGGCGAGCCTCACCTAAAATGGCAGAGTTCATCCCGTCTGGGGTACGGGATGAACATAGGATTATCGGAGTCACCAGAATTCAAAAGGGAACAGAGTGCCAGGGCCACATGTAGTTCACCATGATGATTTTTGACACTGACCGCCAGCTACACTGCTAAATATTTTCAAAAATAACTTTTGAAAACACTGTTCTCAAACGACGATCTATGACTCAGCTGTCGAGGGGAGGATCTTCCTTTCCTACAACTTGCGATTGATAATGTGTCGTCTTGGGCCACCAATCATGGCTTCAAGTTGTCTTCGCCTAAGAATTGTGCTTTTACTCGGAAACAGGTCATTCGTCGGCCGCCATTGTTGCACAATTGTTCACTTCTGTGTAAAAACTCTGCTAAGCCCTTGGGGTTGAACTTTGAACTTTGGTCATCCTATATCTCTTACCTCCGAGTCAAATGGTTTAGGTCCCTTACATTACTTAGTGTCCTATCCCATACTTGCTGGGGAGCTGCTGGACGCACACTCCTAGCTGTTGTGCTGTCTAAACTGGATTATGGTTGTCTCGCCATCTCCCGTGCGTCTCCTTCTCGCCATCTCCCGTGCGTCTCCTTCTCACCATCTCCCGTGCGTCTCCTTCTCGCCATCTCCCGTGCGTCTCCTTCTCGCCATCTCCCGTGCGTCTCCTTCTCGCCATCTCCCGTGCGTCTCCTTCTCGCCATCTCCCGTGCGTCTCCTTCTCGCCATCTCCCGTGCGTCTCCTTCTCGCCATCTCCCGTGCGTCTCCTTCTCGCCATCTCCCGTGCGTCTCCTTCTCGCCATCTCCCGTGCGTCTCCTTCTCGCCATCTCCCGTGCGTCTCCTTCTCGCCATCTCCCGTGCGTCTCCTTCTCGCCATCTCCCGTGCGTCTCCTTCTCGCCATCTCCCGTGCGTCTCCTTCTCGCCATCTCCCGTGCGTCTCCTTCTCGCCATCTCCCGTGCGTCTCCTTCTCGCCATCTCCCGTGCGTCTCCTTCTCGCCATCTCCCGTGCGTCTCCTTCTCGCCATCTCCCGTGCGTCTCCTTCTCGCCATCTCCCGTGCGTCTCCTTCGACTCCTCACCGTCCTGATGCTCTGCACAATGCTGGTTTACGCCTCAGCTCTGGTGCCTTTCGTTCGTCCTGTATCCACAGCTTGTATGTTGAAACCGGCGTCTTGTCGTTACAAGATGGTCGGCATGGTTACTGCCTTCGCCACCTCACACGGTCTGTGAAACATCCTCATTCTTGCTTTTGCTGTGTTTTAGCTGTTGCCTCTCCTGGAGGCCCTCTACCCTTTCACCACCTTCCTTTTTCTTTAGTGATGTCTGGCTTACAAGCCTCCCTTAGTGTTTGTGTTGACAATGTCGCTCCTCGTGTCCTTCCATCCTTGCCCTCCCCCCCCCCCCCCATGGAGCCTCCCATTTGCACAGTGTTGCAAGACTTTGACCCACATGGTAAAAATGTCTGCCATTCCTATTGTTATGAAAGGCCTTTTCCTTAAACATTTTTCTTCGCCCTCGTTGGCCTGTTCAGAGTCTAAGTCTGCAGATGGTTTTATCTATTCCGTAGTCTTTCCAGACTACGGAAATGCCGCCTATACAATATACAAATACTATAGAGATGCCTATATGCCGCCTGCCTCCGGAGGCTAGCAGCATTTTCACGGCTGAACTCGTGCGATTCTGTATGCTCTTCTACTGCTTCTCCCGCGTCAGCGATCCTTTGTCCATGTGTTTGACACTAGCAGTGTTATCATGGCTCTGGAGTCAATTAATCCTGTGCATCCTGGTAGTCCAAATCCAATATTGGCTGTTTCTTATCTCTAGTAAATTTAAAACAGTTATGCAGGCTTCCAGCCGTATTTGTATTACCTTATATGAGGGTGCGGACACTGCCGCTAAGGAAGCTATCCATACGTGTCCTGTTTCTGAAAAGACGTTCTTTATTCAGATTTCTACCCAGTTATTTATTCATCAATTCCAGACCATTGTCCGGGTCGCTGGTGTTGTGTTCCAGGCAACACCTGTGTGTTCTAAGGTTACCCACATGTTGAGGTGAACAGTAATATCAATATGACATTACTGACACGGACGCGGGGCGAGTCGTGAACTGGAACGATATTCAGTACAGATAAATGCCAGGACCTGAGCTTGGTAAATTATTACGGCGCCGTCTGGCAGGTCAATGATGCAGATTTAGGCAAAGCTGATTCGAAAAGAGACTTCTTGGTTCAAGTTAGAGTAAGTTTGTGCCCAACCACTTGGGGCTGGACGGTAGAGCGACGGTCTCCCTTCATGCAGGTCGCGTTCAATCCCTGACAGTCAAAGTGGTTGGGCACCATTCCTTTACCCCCGTCCCAACCCAAATCTCATCATAAAGTCGCTTCATATCCTGAAAAGTCTCCTAGACCCTAGGTGAATGGAATTCATTCCTCATCTCTTCAAAGTGCCATATAATCGAAACTGTTTGGCGCTTTCTGCTGATAAACCCATTCAATTCTATTCAAGTAAGTTTAATATAGACAAATACATCCAAGGATAGAGTAGCTTAGGCGAGTCCTTCCATGTTGGTTGTGACTGGCGGAGTGCCGAGGCCACAGTGTGTCAACCAGTAACAAAGCAAACACAATATTTGAGTTTATAACGAGTTGTATCACCAATAAACGTACACACATCACAATGCAATTATGGCCCAGGTGAGGCCACGATGTATGTCATGGCACGCTGTTTTGTTCACCGTGTTAGAGTGGACAGTGGTTCCTTCGAGAGAATCCAACATAGCATGAAGGGTGAGGCCGTGTTATTGACGCACTACCGCACGGGGAGAGGTTAAGGAAGCTTGGCGTGCATGGCTCCGTCATGTCCAGGGGTCGTCGGTGGACTACGTGTACCACTCGGCCAGATAGAAGGAAGGTCTGAAGCTATGAGACTAGATCAGAGCCTGTAATAATCGCTGTAAGGTGAGGAAGTTTAGTTCAGTACGAATATTTGGAAACCTGTGTTACCAACATGGTGGAAGCATCATCACAAAGTATTGTACTATCATGTAGCCAGTTTTCTTACACTAACCTCTGTAACCTTAGTAGAATGGCCGTAGAAATGCGGGTGTACCTATTTATGTTAATTACAAAAGTAGCAACTTGAGCTGACGGCACTTTGCTTGCAGCCGTCGATCCGTCACTGTGTGTGGTGGAACCCGGAGCTGAGCGGCTGGGACAAGAGCGGGTGTCGAGTCTTCACCGGCGCCGACGACTACACCAAGTGTAGCTGTGCCCAGGCCGGCAAGTACGCCATCCTCGCAGAGGAGGTCGAACCCGCGGTATGTATAGGCTGTGTAGGGCCTACCTCTTGCATCCCAACACCTGCTGGAGATATCCTGCGGTTACTACCCTACCCCGTGCTCTCATAACTCATCCAGACATCACTTCTTGTATATTGATCGAACCACTCCTGTTCTAAATCAACCCCCATACACTAACCTCTAACCTGTGGTGCCGTAGTCTAACATGATGTAACCTGTGGTGCCGTAGTCTAACATGATGTAACCTGTGGTGCCGTAGTCTAACATGATGTAACCTGTGGTGCCATAGTCTAACATGATGTAACCTGTGGTGCCGTAGTCTAACATAATGTAACCTGTGGTGCCATAGTCTAACATGATGTAACCTGTGGTGCCGTAGTCTAACATGATGTAACCTGTGGTGCCGTAGTCTAACATGATGTAACCTGTGGTGCCGTAGTCTAACATGATGTAACCTGTGTAACCACTGGTGTAAACATGTTGTTAACGCTGCTCTGACCTTGGGGCAAAGGTCACAACGGAGTTTAAGGGGAATAACCGCCATACCCTACACTCTGGAGGCATAAACAATCAGAAATATCACTTACTGCCCCTAGGAACAAGAGCTGATATACTGTGTTCATATATCAGTGGGGTTCTTTCTCCTATAATGCTTGGTTAATAGGCTTAACCCATCAATGTATATTGTAAATGCAATAATATATATAGTGATGTAGAAAGGTTTTGTTGACCAGACCACACACTAGAAAGTGAAGGGACGACGACGTTTCGGTCCATCCTGGACCATTCTCAAGTCATCGATTTGAGAATGGTCCAGGACGGACCGAAACGTCGTCGTCCCTTCACCATCTAGTGTGTGGTCTGGTCAACATACTTCAGCCAGGTTATTGTGACTGGTCGCCTGCACAGGAAGGTATTATAATGGAGGTAATTCCGCAGGTGTTGCCGGCGGAGGCGTCCTGGATGAGGCTGTTGCGGTACGTCCTGTACGGGGTCTCGGCGCTCTGTCTCCTCCTCTTCATCCTCGTCGTCGCCTTCTCAGGGTCAGCCGCCACTTATTTGTATATTTTCTCCCACATACGTGGGCCAACCACTTGGGCTGGGCGGTAGAGCAATGGTCTGTTTCATGGAGGTCGGCGTTCAATCCTCGACCGTCCAAGTTGTTGGGCAACATTCATTTCCCCCGTCCCATCCCAAATCCTTATCCTGAAGCCTTGTCAGTGCTTTATAGTCGTAATGGCTAAAACCTTTATATATATATATATATATATATATATATATATATATATATATATATATATATATATATATATATATATATATATATATATATATATTGTGACGATAATCTCCTTCAAGAGATTGAGCCTGCTCTTCCCTCCATAATTACGTCTTCACAATTATATAAAAAGACTATGGAAGAAATGTCCAACAACGACAACAACACCAGCAAGGCTTGCCAGGGTGAGCAAAAACGTATGCAGCCAGCCACCTGTTCGAACTCCAACCACCAAACTACCCGTTGATCGCTACGGCTCCGCTGATTGGTCGCCGGTCTGGCTGCACCTGCCTCTCGCCCCCCCAATACTACCTGATGTCTGGGGTCGCCCCAACATCAGTCCTCAGAATGTTCAGTGCTTTCGTGGCCAGCACTCCTCCCAGCTAGACGTTAGCGTGTACTGAGAGAGGTGGTGGCTTTAAGCCAATATTCCAGCACCTCCCACTTAACTTTTGTGTTGCACTTCTTGTTATTTTGCCTTAACGTAACTTTTCATTGTGTCATTTAAGTATTCTTATTATTTTGATTGATTTTATTATAAGAATTTGTTTGTGCATTATTTTCATGTTTTGATTTATTTAACGTAATTAAAATTTCATTGTTAAAGTTTACTTGTGTTTTGTGTGTCTTCTCCTTACCTTACCACAGACGAAGTTCCAGTTTTTCTATTTTTTTTATAACTATGTGACGAGGCCATACCCCTAGCCTTAAACAGCCGAACACCAACGCGTTACCGTCACAAGTTATATGGGGGCCTGTCCTAGGAGCTTCACTCAGGTACTGGTGCCAAGTGGTAATTTATGGTAAGCGTATTTAACTTTGTTAACGTAGCTTTACTATTTTTCATTCAATTTCATTTTTTATAAGGTGCGGTGTATTGTGCATTACGAGAGTAACATATAGTGAAGGTGAGACAACTTTGGATTACGTGGTGACTGTAGGCCTCAGTCATACTCTTAATTGGTCATCTCTCCCTCCTTGTTATTACTCGTATTTACCATCTATGTCCCTTGAATATTTCTCATTCTGACAGATCATCATATTGGTACCCTGGTACTGTGGTCTGCCCCGGGTCAAGAGTACCCAATCTTCTGCAATCTGACTGTAGGAGGACAAAGAGGGCCATAGTTCCTCTAGCTCGAACTTTAGTTGCTGAATTGGGACCTCAGCAGCAGTTCTCGTCACCAGTTGACACCTCGCACCCCTACACGTCAGTCAGAGATGATGATACATACAACGGTAGGGAATTAGCTTATTTTTTCAGAGCACAAAAGTTCGCTAATTCTGTAAGTATCATATTAAATTCAGTAGGAAAAACTTGCTTTATGTCCTATAGAGACTTGGCAAGGTATGCCTACATCCTTGGACTACCAATTTTACTTTTGAAGCATTTAACTGTTTCATTTGTTTTCGAAACTCTGTTTCATTTGTTAGTAGGATTTTCTTGCCCTTATTCTCTTACATGAGTACCGGGTACAAGATTTCCTGCGCCCTTGATTTAATTTAATCATTTAATATCTTTCACTTAACGTTAATTGTTAAAGATCACACAGGATAGGTACCAGTTGCCACGTTGTCCTGTTTCTGACATTTCATTATTGAACATTCGTGTACCTTTATTTGCTAATTTCACCATGTTTCGTCTCCAAACTTTCCGTGCAAATCCAGCAGGTGAAATAGGGACTTTAAGTCGTGCCAAGAGGACTGAATTACAAACTCTTGCACATGAGTATCAACTAGAAGTTCCCTACCAAGCCAACAAAAATGACCTACACAACCTGTTGCTGGATTACTATTTAGAGCAAGGTAAGATAGACTCTGAAACTCATGAAACTTACTATATTGCAGAGAAAACTGACTTGGCAACGATGAAACTTAAACTAGAGCTGGCCAAGATTGAACGTGAGCAGCAAAGGGAAGCAGCTGCAATAAGAAGAGAAGAACAAGAACGTGAGATTGCCTTACTCCAGGAGCGGGAACGCGTACGGCTTGAAACCAAACAACGCGAGTTGGAGATGCAACGCGAACATGACAAGCAACAAGCGACTCTGGCTCTTGAGTGTCGTCAACGGGAATACACGTTGGAAACTTCACACCTCGCTCAACGCCAGCAAGCTACTGCCAATCTTCCCGTCAGTTTTAATATATCACATGCAAGTAAGTTAATGCCATCCTTTGTAGAAGCAGAAGTTGATGTGTTTTTCACCACCTTTGAAACCCTTGCTAATCAACTCAGTTGGCCTGTCGACCAATGGGCCACACTTCTCAGAGTCCATCTTACAGGTAGAGCTGCAGTCACACTCAGTACTTTGGCGTCTGAGAATGACTACTACACTCTGAAACAAGCAGTGTTGGACGCCTACCTACTTTCCACTGAAAGTTATAGAAGGAAATTCCGTGACCACCTGAAGGCAAGTACCACTACCTTCCTCGAGTTTGCTAACACGAAACGGAGGTATTTCATGAAATGGCTGGAAGCAGCACATGTCTCTACTTTTACAGAACTCGTCAACCTGATGCTTGTTGAAGAATTCTTGAGACGTGTGCCGCCTCCTGTCCGCCTCTACTTAGCAGATAAAGAAGAAACCGACTACCTGAAGTGTGCTAAGTCGGCTGACACTTACAGCCTCATCCACCGGCTGACACCTGAACCATCCTCCAGTAAGAAGTCGTGGTACAGTTACGAGAAGGTGAGCCCCGATCAAGCTGGTTCACAACTGTACTGCAAGTATTGTAGACTCTATGGACATACCATAGACAAGTGTGGTAAGTCTCAATACAAGGGAACCACTGACCAACAACGACCCAAACCAACTCCTCCTAAGTCCGGTAAGCCTGTGATGAATGTTGGTGTTGATGTTAATGATCTTTCTCTTTTCAGTAACCACCTGTATACTGGAACTGTCTCTGCCAACGGTTCAAATCCGGAGGGACGTTTCAAATTGAAGATCTTGAGGGACACAGCGGCTCTACAATCGATCATCTTGAAGTCGGCTGTGCCCAACATAGTCTACACCGGGGAAACAGTCTTCATCACTGACCTCACTGCTACCACTCCATACCCTCTCGCCAGAGTCCACCTGGATTGTCCCTACGTGAACGGGGAAGTCCAAGTCGCCGTCAGGGAAAAGCCTTTTCCCATGCCTGGAGTGCAACTTCTCCTAGGCAACGACTTGGCAGAAGACCTGCAACCGACCAACCTGATCGTCATGGACAAACCCCAGGTGTGTAACTCTGTGCCAATAAATCCTATTCTTGAGTATGTTCCAGCAGAGGTTCAAGAGAGTGATGAAGTTTCTCCTCCGGTTCTCGTGACCACCCGTGCACAAGCCGCACGTCCACAGCCAGCTGACTCTACTGCTACCGCTGTCCCTCAAGACCCTCAGAAACTACCCCCGCATCTGACCAAGTTGGAGTTCCGTAAGTTGCAGAGGGAAGATCTTACTTTAACACCATTGTTTTTCCAGGCTGAGACTCAACCCGACAGTATTCCTGGGTTCTTCCTAGAGAACGACTTGCTCTACCGCAGATATAGACCCAGTAAACTGAAGGAGGAGGACGATTGGGCCAACATCGAACAACTTGTGATTCCCACCAGCCTGCGGCCCACTATTCTACACCTGGCCCACGGAGCATTCTCCCACTACGGCTTCAACAAGACTTACCATGGGATTCGTCAAGACTACTACTGGCCAGGTATGGTAAATAACGTCAAACAGTACGTAAAACAGTGTCATACATGTCAGATGGCAGGCAAACCGAACGTCTCCATTCCCAGAGCACCACTGATTCCCATACAGGTGCCTGCGGAACCTTTCCACAGACTCATAATAGACTGTGTTGGTCCTTTACCTCGGACCAGTTCAGGTAACGCCTACATCCTAACCATCCTGTGTCCTACCACCAGATTTCCCATAGCAGTTCCAGTGAAGAACATCACGGCTGCTACGGTTATCAAACATCTATTGAAGATCTTCACTCAATACGGATTTCCCAGGGAGATTCAAAGTGACTGTGGCACCAACTTCACCAGTGATCTCTTCAAAAGGACACTGGAGGAGTTCAACATCAAACAGGTATTGTCCAGCCCCTATCATCCTGCTTCACAGGGTTCTCTTGAACGTAGTCATCAGACCATCAAAGCACTCTTGAAAAAGTTTTGTAGTGAAACCTCAAAGGATTGGGATAAGCAGATTGACCTAATAATGTGTATTTTCAGAAGTCTCCCCAATGAGTCCCTAGGAGTATCTCCTTATGAGATGCTCTACGGCCGTAAGTGCCGTACTCCCCTTAAGGCTTTCAAAGACTCTCTCAGAGATGCCACCTTCAGTGAGCATCAGAATGTGCCCCAGTTTCTTCAAAACCTTCAGCACATTCTAGAGAGAGTCCACCGCTTTGCCCATGATAATCTATTGAAAGCCCAGGTGAGAATGAAGACTCATTACGACCAGACCAGCAAAGTAAGAAAATTCAAGCCGGGAGACTTCGTCCTTGCTTATTTCCCTATCCCAGGTTCACCTTTACAAAACAGATTTTCAGGACCCTACTGCGTCAAAGAGTGCAGGAATAATAACAATTATGTGATAGAGACTCCAGATAGGCGGCGGAAGACCCAGCTGTGCCACGTCAACCTCCTGAAGCAATATAATGGTACTCCTCCCACTGTCTTGACTAACTATTCCACATTCACAGAACCCTACATCCACAGTGAGACCTTCCCAGCTTCTCCTCCCGAAAGCACTGACAAGGAGTCAGCGCTTTCTAATTCCGAAATCCTTAATGATCTTCCCAAATACTTTCAGGATAATCATAGTGCACCTCTCGTCAAGATCTTCAGAGAACATCAAGAGTTGTTCAGAGATGATCCCCAAGAGTGTAATGTTACCCAGCACGACATCCAACTGCTCCCCGACACCCGGCCGATTCGTCAACCCTTCTACCGAATCAGCCCGAGCAAGAAGGAAGTCATGCGTGCTGAGGTGCAGTACCTCTTGGACCATGGACTGGCTACACCTTGTGAGTCCCCCTGGGCCTCACCTTGTATCTTGGTGCCCAAACCCCAAGGTAAGGTGCGGTTGTGCACTGACTATCGAAAACTGAACTCTGTCACTGTCAAGGATGCTTACCCCTTGCCAAGGATAGATGACATCCTTGATGCCATTGGTAGTGCCCAGTACTTGTCCCAAGTGGACTTGCTTAAGGGGTACTATCAAGTGTGTCTAACGGAGCGCGCTAAAGAGATATCTGCCTTCATCACTCCTTTTGGACTTTTCAGATATGAACGCCTTCCTTTCGGACTATGTAATGCCCCGGCCACCTTTCAAAGAGCTGTCAACCGTGTCATCCAGGGCTTGGATAACACATACGCCTACCTGGACGATATCGTCGTAGCCTCCAACTCCTGGAGTGAACATCTGCTCCAGCTGCGACGTCTGTTCTCCAAGCTCCTGACAGCCGGCCTCACCATCAACCTGGGCAAGTCCACTTTCGCGAAAGGTAAAGTGCGTTATCTGGGTCATGTTATTGGGAGTGGCAGCATAGCTCCGTTAGACTCACACACTCAAGCCATCCTACAGTATCCACAGCCTACCACCAGGAAGCAGCTCCTGCGCTTCCTTGGTCTTGCCTCTTACTACCGTAGGTTTGTGAGGAATTTCAGTACAGTCGCCACACCTCTAATTCTATTAACCAGTCCCAAGCAACGGTATAATTGGACCATGCAGCAAACCGTTGCTTTCGAACAACTCAAATTCCTCCTCTGTTCTAACCCCATTCTCGCCTCTCCAGATATCACCAAGCCTTTCGTCCTTCATGTCGACGCCAGTGGTACCGGCGTTGGTGGTGTCCTGATGCAACAACGAGGCGAGGAGGTTCTACCTGTCAGCTACTACAGCTACAAACTGAAACCACACCAGAGGAACTACAGCACTATTGAAAAGGAGCTACTATCCATCGTCCTGAACCTCCAACACTTCGCTCCGTACCTACAAGGCGCCAGGTCTACCACCATCTTCTCAGACCACAACCCTCTCCGCTTCCTACATCAAGCCCAATTCACCAACCAGCGTCTTCTACGATGGGCTCTGTATTTACAAGACTTCAACCTGGAGATCCGCTATATCAAGGGTTCTGACAACACCATAGCCGATGCCCTCTCCAGAGTTTATGAAGTAGAAGCAACTCCATCCATTACTCCACCACATAACGACGTACTTCTTCCAGAACCGCAGGCTTCGGGGGAGAGTTGTGACGATAATCTCCTTCAAGAGATTGAGCCTGCTCTTCCCTCCATAATTACGTCTTCACAATTATATAAAAAGACTATGGAAGAAATGTCCAACAACGACAACAACACCAGCAAGGCTTGCCAGGGTGAGCAAAAACGTATGCAGCCAGCCACCTGTTCGAACTCCAACCACCAAACTACCCGTTGATCGCTACGGCTCCGCTGATTGGTCGCCGGTCTGGCTGCACCTGCCTCGCCCCCCCCCCAATACTACCTGATGTCTGGGGTCGCCCCAACATCAGTCCTCAGAATGTTCAGTGCTTTCGTGGCCAGCACTCCTCCCAGCTAGACGTTAGCGTGTACTGAGAGAGGTGGTGGCTTTAAGCCAATATTCCAGCACCTCCCACTTAACTTTGTGTTGCACTTCTTGTTATTTTGCCTTAACGTAACTTTTCATTGTGTCATTTAAGTATTCTTATTATTTTGATTGATTGATTTTATTATAAGAATTTGTTTGTGCATTATTTTCATGTTTTGATTTATTTAACGTAATTAAAATTTCATTGTTAAAGTTTACTTGTGTTTTGTGTGTCTTCTCCTTACCTTACCACAGACGAAGTTCCAGTTTTTCTATTTTTTTTTATAACTATGTGACGAGGCCATACCCCTAGCCTTAAACAGCCGAACACCAACGCGTTACCGTCACAATATATATATATTAGTATATTTTTCACTGTTGGAGGTAAATCAAAAATCACTTCTCCAAAATTCATTTTTATTTCTAGTCTGACGCGACACGGGCGCGTTTCGTAAAACTTATTACATTTTCAAAGACTTCACAAATACACAACTGATTAGAACTTACGTATCTCTGATTTTATATCTACATTTGAGTGAGGTGGGAGGGGTGATGTGGCATTAACACAAGACAGAACAAGAGGGGATATTAATAGGGTATTAAAAGTATCAACACAAGACAGAACAGAAACAATGGGTATTGAATAGAAGTGTTTGTAGAAAGCCTATTGGTCCATATTTCTTGATGCTTCTATATTGGAGCGGAGTCTTGAGGTGGGTAGAATATAGTTGTGCAATAATTGGCTGTTGATTGCTGGTGTTGACTTCTTGATGTGTAGTGCCTCGCAAACGTCAAGCCGCCTGCTATCGCTGTATCTATCGATGATTTCTGTGTTGTTTACTAGGATTTCTCTGGCGATGGTTTGGTTATGGGAAGAGATTATATGTTCCTTAATGGAGCCCTGTTGCTTATGCATCGTTAAACGCCTAGAAAGAGATGTTGTTGTCTTGCCTATATACTGGGTTTTTTGGAGCTTACAGTCCCCAAGTGGGCATTTGAAGGCATAGACGACGTTAGTCTCTTTTAAAGCGTTCTGTTTTTAACAGAACGCTTACAGAACGCTTTAAAAGAGAACGCTTTAAAAGAGACTAACGTCGTCTATGCCTTCAAATGCCCACTTGGGGACTGTAAGCTCCAAAAAACCAGTATATAGGCAAGACAACAACATCTCTTTCTAGGCGTTTAACGATGCATAAGCAACAGGGCTCCATTAAGGAACGTATAATCTCTTCCCATAACCAAACCATCGCCAGAGAAATCCTAGTAAACAACACAGAAATCATCGATAGATACAGCGATAGCAGGCGGCTTGACGTTTGCGAGGCACTACACATCAAGAAGTCAACACCAGCAATCAACAGCCAATTATTGCACAACTATATTCTACCCACCTCAAGACTCCGCTCCAATATAGAAGCATCAAGAAATATGGACCAATAGGCTTTCTACAAACACTTCTATTCAATACCCATTGTTTCTGTTCTGTCTTGTGTTGATACTTTTAATACCCTATTAATATCCCCTCTTGTTCTATCTTGTGTTAATGCCACATCACCCCTCCCACCTCACTCAAATGTAGATATAAAATCAGAGATACGTAAGTTCTAATCAGTTGTGTATTTGTGAAGTCTTTGAAAATGTAATAAGTTTTAAGAAACGCGCCCGTGCCGCGTCAGACTAGAAATAAAAATGAATTTTGGAGAAGTGATTTTTGATTTACCTCCAACAGTGAAGCGTAATGTACGAAAGATTGAGAAAATTCGTGTTAGAATTATTAATCTTACTTTTTCGGTCATATTTAATAATATATATATATATATATATATATATATATATATATATATATATATATATATATATATATATATATATGTCGTACCTAATAGCCAGAACGCACTTCTCAGCCTACTATTCAAGGCCCGATTTGCCTAATAAGCCAAGTTTTCATAGATTACTTATATTTTTTTGGCTACATTTATAATATAAAGGTTAGGTAGGGTATATAATGTGTCTTTATTACACCACTTGTGTTGTGCTGTCACCTCCTCTTTACTGCAACTTCCTCCTCTTTACTGCATTCCTTATTTAACACCTGTTTAACTCTCGTGTAATCAGTTTATTAAACAACTCTTATGTTTTGTTAATGTGTGTTGCAAGGTGTTCGTTGCACTCTGGTGTTGCAGGTGTTGACGACACTGTATGTCAACACCTGCCACTTGCACTCTGGTGCTTCTGGTGTGAGAAACCTGTAGAAGGTGTACTTACCACTTCCACTCTCATTATCTCAAACATCTAACACACCAAACACACTCTAGTTGCAACTCAAAGATACACTTAGACCTTGAGTAACAGTCAAGCAACACCTTGAGTAACAGTCAAGCAACACCTTGAGTAACAGTCAAGCAACACCTTGAGTAACAGTCAAGCAACACCTTGAGTAACAGTCAAGCAACACCTTGAGTAACAGTCAAGCAACACCTTGAGTAACAGTCAAGCAACACCTTGAGTAACAGTCAAGCAACACCTTGAGTAACAGTCAAGCAACACCTTGAGTAACAGTCAAGCAACACCTTGAGTAACAGTCAAGCAACACCTTGAGTAACAGTCAAGCAACACCTTGAGTAACAGTCAAGCAACACCTTGAGTAACAGTCAAGCAACACCTTGAGTAGCAGCTAAACAAGACGATAAAAATCCCAAGGTTTAAGTAGCACTTGTCACCTGTACAGGGACCTGAAGGAGCAGTTCCACCTGATGGGGATGACCCTGGCGGGGACGCTGCTGGTGGCCAGCCTGTTCATGGTGCTGAGTGACCTGCCCTCCGTCAGGGACGGCAGGCACATGTGCACGGCCTTCGGCACCGTCCTCCACTTCCTCTACCTCTGTGCCGGGGCCTGGGTGGCCATGATTGGCCATGCTACCTTCAACTGTATCACAGCAGGTCAGTGTATGCTGGGGCCTGGGTGGCCATGATTGGCCATGCTACCTTCAACTGTATCACAGCAGGTCAGTGTATGCTGGGGCCTGGGTGGCCATGATTGGCCATGCTACCTTCAACTGTATCACAGCAGGTCAGTGTATCCTGGGGCCTGGGTGGCCATGATTGGCCATGCTACCTTCAACTGTATCACAGCAGGTCAGTGTATGCTGGGGCCTGGGTGGCCATGATTGGCCATGCTACCTTCAACTGTATCACAGCAGGTCAGTGTATGCTGGGGCCTGGGTGGCCATGATTGGCCATGCTACCTTCAACTGTATCACAGCAGGTCAGTGTATGCTGGGGCCTGGGTGGCCATGATTGGCCATGCTACCTTCAACTGTATCACAGCAGGTCAGTGTATGCTGGGGCCTGGGTGGCCATGATTGGCCATGCTACCTTCAACTGTATCACAGCAGGTCAGTGCTGGGGCCTGGGTGGCCATGATTGGGCCATGCTACCTTCAACTGTATCACAGCAGGTCAGTGTATGCTGGGGCCTGGGTGGCCATGATTGGCCATGCTACCTTCAACTGTATCACAGCAGGTCAGTGTATGCTGGGGCCTGGGTGGCCATGATTGGCCATGCTACCTTCAACTGTATCACAGCAGGTCAGTGTATATGAATGTCGAGTGAATACTACATACTGAATTACAATTGAATATATTTAAATGTTTGATGTTGGTGGGGTGTGACAGGTATCATCGGAGGTCGCCTGGGGTGCTACGGGTGCCTGAGCGTGGGCATCACACTGGTCTCCGTGGGTCTGGGCTACACCTTCTTCCTCCAGGACCTGGGCACCGACCCTCGCTGCTTCATCTCCTTCAACAACTTCCCCAAGTTGCTGTTCTTCAGCCCACAGGTGGCCTTCTGCTGCGTCGGCCTCTTCTGCGGCGTCGTCATCTTCTTCAACATGCGCACTGCTTCCCTCAGGTGAGTCCGTGTACATGTTGACTGCTACAGTCCTTCAGGCTTCATGACAACATCTGCCCAAATTGTCAATAATCTTAAAAAAATTGTATGTCGTGTGCCCAGAGAATGGTAACCCGCAAATTATACTGCGGTTTAGCATTCTCATTATTACTTTTGCATTTTACCATTTTTATGGAGAAAGAAAAGAAATGCTTGAAATCACTGTTAAAGTCTTTAAAATCTGTTTAGAGGACTAATAACTTATTTTTATTGAAATAAATAGAACAGCTATTAAAAGTATAACATAGATTTAAATAAATAAAAGCCTTTTAGAAACCCCTGACAAAAAATGTAAGTCAAATTTTTAACAAGACAATTGAAAAATAACAATTTATAAATAGTAGTTTAGCAACAAATGTGAACGTGAAATTATAAGTTTTGGTTTATATTAAACATAAAAAATGAACTGTTGGTGCCCCGACGATGTCAGGATGTCTCACATGAGGCTCGTGTGTGTGTGTGTGTGTGTGTGTGTGTGTGTGTGTGTGGTGTTGAGAGTTGTGTTGGTGCCCCGACGATGTCAGGATGTCTCACATGAGGCTCGTGTGTGTGTGTGTGTGTGTGTGTGTGTGTGTGTGTGTGTGTGTGTGTGTGTGTGTGTGTGTGGTGTTGAGAGCTGTGCGCGCTGTATCAGCTGCTTCAGCAAGTGTACTCACAGGAAACAATAACTCGTATAAATATGTCGATGAATATACTGTTTTTACTGTTATTACGAGATTTCCAGACAGCCAATAATTACAGAAATAGATTTACAGAGTTACAAAACTTAATTTTCTGTAATTTTGTGCGTTAGTCCAGTTTCTAGCCGATCTTTGTCAATGTTGTCCGGGGCAATTCTTAAGTCGAGACATTTTGGCCACATGGTAAAAGAGAGGCTGCGGGATCCGTGTGAGGACAGTAGCACTCCCGGTTGTAATTCTTTTACCCATGTCTTGGTGCAGTCGACTAAGGCGCGTCTGGGATCATCCCGGACGTAGGGTCGAACCCTCATCACGGCCCTTGTGGATTTGATCATTTGATGTATCACGCTATTGTGATTTCTGTGTGTGTTTACCTGCTTGAGCAAGTCCTGCCTCTAGGCGCGTCCCCCCCCCTCCTGGGAGGACGACCCATGTAAGATTATTATATACGAGATGACAATGAAAAAGTCCAACATGATACCACAAGAAATGAAGCATAAATATCTTGAAGAAATTTATAATCAAACCGGAAATGAATAAGATCAAATTGACAGTCTGTTTATCTAATTTCCAACACCAATAGCACGGCTGGGACAGTATACACTGTAATTTACCAGGATTTACCTGAGGGCCACTAATACTAGTGGCCTCGACGAGGACAGGAAGCCGGTGGCTTGTCAAAAGTCCCACCGCCTATTTGCCCTGATGATCTTTTCCAGCTGTATTTTAAAAGCCAGCAAAGTATTGGCGTTTACGGCTTCGGCGGGTAGGCGGTTCCATGGGTTAATAACCCTGTGGGTGAAAATTATCTCCTGTTCTCAGTGTTACATTGTGGCTTATTGAGCTTGAACCCGTTGCTCCTTGTTTGTGTTACATCTGACCTCTTGAAGAAATTATCCGGATCAACATCCTCCAAATTATTCAGTATTTTAAAGGTTTCAATAAGATCCGTCCTGACCTGTTTGGTGTGCAGTGTTGTTAGCCCTGTGGCACTCAACCGTTCCTGGTACGGGAGATGACTTAGCTCTGGATTGACTTTTGTTGCCCGGTGTTGCACTTTCTCCAGAGCAGCTATGTCTTTCTGAAGATGAGGTCTCCATGCCTGGATGCAATACTCCAGGTGGAGGCGCACCACAGACTTGTACGGTTGAACGATTACTTTCTTTTCCTTGAAGATAAATGTACTCATGATTATTCTCAAGGTCTGGTTAGGTTTTTTTTTCACTTCCGCTCCCACTTGTTGTGCAACTTTTAGTGAATGATGGATCCTGACTCCAAGGTCCTTTTCTTCACCAATCTGTTGTAAGGTGGTGCTGTCAATCTGGTAGTTGTGGTGTGGGTTGTTATGCCCCACATGCAAGCTCTTGCATTTATCGACATTAAAAAGCATTTGCCAGTCTTCAGACCATTTGTGGAGTTCATATAAATCTCTTTGTAAGGTCTCAATATCACTCTCACTTCTCACTTTACCATAGATCTTTGTGTCATCTGCAAATTTGATGATGATGTTTGTGATATTCTCATCTATGTCATTGATGTATATGACAAAAAGGGTTGGCCCCAAAGTGGACCCCTGAGGCACCCCACTTAGCACATTTCTCCCGTCAGATTCATTCCCATTTAGCACGACCCTTTGTTTTCTATGTTTTAACCCTTGTTTTATTCATTCCAGTATTCTCCCATTTATTCCATGTGTCTGTAATATTCTTGCCAGTCTCTCATGTGGCACCCTGTCAAAAGCTTTAGCAAAGTCCATGTCAGCTACATCTACTGAAAGTCCTTTGTCTCAATATCCGGTTACTATTTCCAGAATTGTGAGCAGGTTAGTGAGGCAGGATCTATTTTTAACAACCCCATGTTGTGTTGATTTTACAAGATTGTTCTCTGTGAGATGATGAATGATTCCTTCCCTTAGGATTCTCTCCATGAGCTTGCAGATGTGTGATGTCAAGCTGATCAGATGGTAGTTTTCTGCCGAGCTCTTTCTGACTTTTTTGAAATCAGAGATGACATTTGCATATTTCCACTCCAAGGTAAACTATCCCTTGGTCCATGGATTGTCTGAGGAGGAGTTTCAGTGGTGTTCACAGTACATTTGCCAGTTCCTTTACGACTTTGGATTGGAATCCATAATGTCCACACCTGGGGCTTTTGAGTCTTAGTTTGTCAATGTTCTTCCTGATTGTGTCGCGTGTAATGGGTATATCACGTAATTCATTCTCTTTACCTCCTACAAACGTGTGTGTGGGTGATGGGATGTCGTTCAATCTTCCTAGTGTGAACACTGATGTATAGTATTTATTCAGAGTATTTGCTGCCCTTTTATCATCCAACATAACTTGGTTAGTCTCATCTTTTAGGGGAGACTTTTAGTCTCATAGTTTATATATATGTTTATATATTATTTATTTAGTTTATATATGCATAGAATGATTTTGGATCTTCCCTTATGTTTTGGCCAAGTTTTCTTTCGGAGTTTTTTTAGGCAAATCTGATTTCCTGGGTGGCTGAATTTAATGGTTTTATATATCTCATAATCCATGACGTTCATCGTAGATTTATACCGTCTCCAGAGGTTCTGTTTAGTTGTTGTTGTTTAAGATTTGCTACCTGGAACAAAAAGTCTCAAGTAGCACGGACTATGGTGAGCCCGTAGTCAGCTTAGTTATTAGCGCTCTTTTTACTACTTGTGTCATCCATCTTGTTCCCTTTGTTTTCTTTTGGAACAAATCTTTGTACGAGTTCAGTAATGACCTTTTTGAAATGTTCCCATGATGGTTCCCTGCCAAGATCGCCTGTCAGCGCCCTTCATGAGCTGTTTAGCAATTCCTCTCTCATTCCCTGATAGTTTCCTCGATGGTAATGTAGAAGGTCATCATCCTGGACCTTTACGAGAGTTTCTGTAATTGTGTTCCATCTTAGAATATTGTCATCACACGATGGGGTGAACTTTCCCCCTACTTGAATGTGATCGACCATGGCCTCCTCTGATGTTAGCACAAGGTCCAGAATGCTGTTACCTGGAGTGGGTTCTATCACATGTTTTTTGAGGAAGGAGTCTTGCACCAGGTTTAGAAATTAATCTCCCGCCCGTCGTAATAAGGAATAATGCCTTTCAAACCGGTAGTGAAGAAAAAGCGCGCATTGACAACTATGCTTCTTCAACGCAAGCAGAGCTAATTGCCATTGTTATGTCGTAAAGATTCCTTCAAACAAACACCAACAGTTCAGTGATCTGTACTGATTCAAAAGCAGTACTACAAAGCCTTAGGAAAAAACAGACAGAAACCAAGTAATAGTCATTGAAATCAGGAGAGTTGTGAGAGAACTAACCAATCAGGGGAGGGTGATCAAATTTCTGTGGGTCCCCTCCCATGTTGGAATCTGTGGACATGAACGAGCAGATGTGCTGGCTGCTGAAGGCGCTGAAGGAGACCACATGGAATACCTCAAATACAAGACTCTTCTACAAATTAAAGGTATTATCAGGCAACTTCATAGTGACAAAGGTTACTGAGGACAGAGGATAGAAGCACAAATCAGTTAGTGTGTACGATGGTACAGTATGGTTGCAGCTGGCACTCCCAGTCATTATGGACGAAGAGGAGGAGGACGAGGGAGAGAATCAGTAATAGCGAGAATCCGTCTTGGATACAAATATCCATGGAGATTCGGGATGGAAACAATTGTTGAGCAGCGGAGTTGCAGAATCTGTAGTGACGGTGACGGACACCGCCTTGACCACTACCTGAGAGAATGTGAACATCTAAGATACATTAGAAATGTGTAGAATAATAAACCCCACATTGTTTGAATTAGAAAAACACTATTTGTCAAATATAGATACTATTCTTTAAAGATTCCCCCCGCTTTGCACCCGCAAGATAACGTAAGTTTAGGGATTGGTAATGTTAATTCTTGTTTGATGAGCTGTTCATTTGAAATAGCTAAACAAGTCCCAGCTGTGTCTGGGTACAAGTGACAACATGAACAACCCAGCGGGTTTTCTTCCTATTGGGGAGTGTTGTACATTCCTCACTCACTCACTCACTCACTCACTCACTCACTCACTCACTCACTCACTCAAAGGATGAGTGGCGCTGCCCAGGAAACACGCTCTCCTTACTATAATTCCATTACTGTTGCTGCTTCAGGAACAACCCGGGCATATCAGACTACCGCTCCTTCAGCCTCGGGGCCGCTGTCTTCTCCATCTACTTCTCCCTGACCTGGGCCGTCGGTACCGTCACCTACCTCCAGCTCGGCCTCAAGGTCGACCTCTATCCTTTCTTCCAAGTCCTCAACGGCTTGATGGTGAGTCAGCTGACCCACTTGTACACCCATCCTCTATATGACAGTTGAGTAATATCCGAAGGTTTGTTGATGATATGATAATTGTATTGTGTTGAAGCAGATGATAGCGAGTGTTGTTGTGTTGCAGGGCGTGGTGTTGCTGCTGTGTCTGGGCGCTGGCTCCTCTCGCTTCCGGATGGTCCTCGCCGGCCAGGCCAAGCGAAGGGTAAACAAAACCTTGTCTTACACCCCCGCCTTCTCTACCCCCTACCTCACACCTCCCCAGTAGACCCAAACCCTCCCCAGTAGCCCCAAAACCCTCCCCAGTAACCCAAAACCCTCCCCAGTAACCCCAAAACCCTCCCCAGTATCCCAAAACCCTCCCCAGTAACCCCAAAACCCTCCCCAGTAACCCCAAAACCCTCCCCAGTAACCCCAAAACCCTCCCCAGTAGCCCCAAAACCCTCCCCAGTAACCCCAAAACCCTCCCCAGTAGCCCCAAAACCCTCCCCAGTAGCCCCAAAACCCTCCCCAGTAGCCCCAAAACCCTCCCCAGTAACCCAAAAACCCTCCCCAGTAACCCCAAAACCCTATCCAGTAACCCCAAAACCCTCCCCAGTAGCCCCAAAACCCTCCCCAGTAGCCCCAAAACCCTCCCCAGTAACCCAAAACCCTCCCCAGTAACCCAAAACCCTCCCCAGTAACCCCAAAACCCTCCCCAGTAGCCCCAAAACCCTCCCCAGTAGCCCCAAAACCCTCCCCAGTAGCCCCAAAACCCTCCCCAGTAGCCCCAAAACCCTCCCCAGTAGCCCCAAAACCCTCCCCAGTAACCCAAAACCCTCCCCAGTAACCCCAAACCCTCAACAGTAACCCCAAAACCCTCCCCAGTAGCCCCAAACCCTCAACAGTAACCCCAAAACCCTCCCCAGTAGCCCCAAACCCTCAACAGTAACCCCAAAACCCTCCCCAGTAACCCCAAACCCTCAACAGTAACCCCAAAACCCTCCCCAGTAGCCCCAAAACCCTCAACAGTAACCCCAAAACCCTCAACAGTAACCCCAAAACCCTCCCCAGTAACCCCAAAACCCTCAACAGTAACCCCAAAACCTCCCCAGTAGCCCCAAAACCCTCAACAGTAACCCCAAAACCCTCCCCAGTAACCCCAAAACCCTCAACAGTAACCCCAAAACCTCCCCAGTAGCCCCAAAACCCTCAACAGTAACCCCAAAACCCTCCCCAGTAACCCCAAAACCCTCAACAGTAACCCCAAAACCCTCAACAGTAACCCCAAAACCCTCCCCAGTAACCCCAAAACCCTCCCCAGTAACCCCAAAACCCTCCCCAGTAACCCCAAAACCCTCCCCAGTAGCCCCAAAACCCTCCCCAGTAACCCAAAACCCTCCCCAGTAACCCCAAACCCTCCCCAGTAACCCCAAAACCCTCCCCAGTAACCCAAAACCCTCCCAGTAACCCAAAACCCTCCCAGTAACCCCAAACCCTCCCCAGTAGCCCCAAAACCCTCCCCAGTAGCCCCAAAACCCTCCCCAGTAACCCCAAAACCCTCCCCAGTAACCCCAAACCCCTCCCCAGTATCCCCAAAACCCTCCCCAGTAACCCCAAAACCCTCCCCAGTAACCCCAAAACCCTCCCCAGTAACCCCAAAACCCTCCCCAGTAGCCCCAAAACCCTCCCCAGTAGCCCCAAAACCCTCCCCAGTAACCCAAAACCCTCCCCAGTAACCCCAAACCCTCCCCAGTAACCCCAAAACCCTCCCCAGTAACCCCAAACCCTCCCCAGTAGCCCCAAAACCTCCCAACAATGCCCTCCCCACACCAACACTTCCATTAGTGAGCTCGAACGAATAGTATTTTACCTCAAACCTCGTCTCTCACCCAACCTTCTAGGATTTCCTTTACCCTCACCCAGGGGTTTACTGCCCCACACCCTGGGGTTTACTGTCCCACACCCTGGGGTTTACTGTCCCACACCCTGGGGTTCACTGTCCCACACCCTGGGGTTCACTGTCCCACACCCTGGGGTTTACTGTCCCACACCCTGGGGTTCACTGTCCCACACCCTGGGGTTCACTGTCCCACACCCTGGGGTTTACTGTCCCACACCCTGGGGTTTACTGTCCCACACCCTGGGGTTCACTGTCCCACACCCTGGGGTTCACTGTCCCACTGTGCACCAGAGGTCACCACTGTGCACCAGAGGTCACCACTGTGCACCAGAGGTCACCACTGTGCACCAGAGGTCACCACTGTGCACCAGAGGTCACCACTGTGCACCAGAGGTCACCACTGTGCACCAGAGGTCACCACTGTGCACCAGAGGTCACCACTGTGCACCAGAGGTCACCACTGTGCACCAGAGGTCACCACTGTGCACCAGAGGTCACCACTGTGCACCAGAGGTCACCACTGTGCACCAGAGGTCACCACTGTGCACCAGAGGTCACCACTGTGCACCAGAGGTCACCACTGTGCACCAGAGGTCACCACTGTGCACCAGAGGTCACCACTGTGCACCAGAGGTCACCACTGTGCACCAGAGGTCACCACTGTGCACCAGAGGTCACCACTGTGCACCAGAGGTCACCACTGTGCACCAGAGGTCACCACTGTGCACCAGAGGTCACCACTGTGCACCAGAGGTCACCACTGTGCACCAGAGGTCACCACTGTGCACCAGAGGTCACCACTGTGCACCAGAGGTCACCACTGTGCACCAGAGGTCACCACTGTGCACCAGAGGTCACCACTGTGCACCAGAGGTCACCACTGTGCACCAGAGGTCACCACTGTGCACCAGAGGTCACCACTGTGCACCAGAGGTCACCACTGTGCACCAGAGGTCACCACTGTGCACCAGAGGTCACCACTGTGCACCAGAGGTCACCACTGTGCACCAGAGGTCACCACTGTGCACCAGAGGTCACCACTGTGCACCAGAGGTCACCACTGTGCACCAGAGGTCACCACTGTGCACCAGAGGTCACCACTGTGCACCAGAGGTCACCACTGTGCACCAGAGGTCACCACTGTGCACCAGAGGTCACCACTGTGCACCAGAGGTCACCACTGTGCACCAGAGGTCACCACTGTGCACCAGAGGTCACCACTGTGCACCAGAGGTCACCACTGTGCACCAGAGGTCACCACTGTGCACCAGAGGTCACCACTGTGCACCAGAGGTCATCCCTGTGCACCAGAGGTCATCACTGTGCACCAGAGGTCACCACTGTGCACCAGAGGTCACCACTGTGCACCAGAGGTCACCACTGTGCACCAGAGGTCATCCACTGTGCACCAGAGGTCATCCCTGTGCACCAGAGGTCATCACTGTGCACCAGAGGTCATCACTGTGCACCAGAGGTCATCACTGTGCACCAGAGGTCACCACTGTGCACCAGAGGTCACCACTGTGCAACAGAGGTCACCACTGTGCACCAGAGGTCATCACTGTGCACCAGAGGTCATCACTGTGCACCAGAGGTCATCACTGTGCACCAGAGGTCACCACTGTGCACCAGAGGTCACCACTGTGCACCAGAGGTCACCACTGTGCACCAGAGGTCACCACTGTGCACCAGAGGTCACCACTGTGCACCAGAGGTCACCACTGTGCACCAGGGTCACCACTGTGCACCAGAGGTCACCACTGTGCACCAGGTGGTCACCACTGTGCACCAGAGGTCACCACTGTGCACCAGAGGTCACCACTGTGCACCAGAGGTCACCACTGTGCACCAGAGGTCACCACTGTGCACCAGAGGTCACCACTGTGCACCAGCACCACTGTGCACCAGGGGTCACCACTGTGCACCAGGGGTCACCACTGTGCACCAGGGGTCATCACTGTGCACCAGGGGTCGCCACTGTGCACCAGAGGTCACCACTGTGCACCAGAGGTCGCCACTGTGCACCAGGGGTCGCCACTGTGCACCAGGGGTCGCCACTGTGCACCAGGGGTCGCCACTGTGCACCAGGGGTCGCCACTGTGCACCAGGGGTCGCCACTGTGCACCAGGGGTCGCCACTGTGCACCAGGGGTCACCACTGTGCACCAGGGGTCGCCACTGTGCACCAGGGGTCGCCACTGTGCACCAGGGGTCGCCACTGTGCACCAGGGGTCGCCACTGTGCACCAGGGGTCGCCACTGTGCACCAGGGGTCGCCACTGTGCACCAGGGGTCGCCACTGTGCACCAGGGGTCGCCACTGTGCACCAGGGGTCGCCACTGTGCACCAGGGGTCGCCACTGTGCACCAGGGGTCGCCACTGTGCACCAGGGGTCGCCACTGTGCACCAGGGGTCGCCACTGTGCACCAGGGGTCGCCACTGTGCACCAGGGGTCGCCACTGTGCACCAGAGGTCGCCACTGTGCACCAGAGGTCGCCACTGTGCACCAGAGGTCACCACTGTGCACCAGAGGTCACCACTGTGCACCAGAGGTCACCACTGTGCACCAGGGGTCACCACTGTGCACCAGGGGTCACCACTGTGCACCAGGGGTCACCACTGTGCACCAGGGGTCACCACTGTGCACCAGGGGTCGCCACTGTGCACCAGGGGTCGCCACTGTGCACCAGGGGTCGCCACTGTGCACCAGGGGTCACCACTGTGCACCAGGGGTCGCCACTGTGCACCAGAGGTCACCACTGTGCACCAGAGGTCACCGCTGTGCACCAGGGGTCACCACTGTGCACCAGAGGTCACCACTGTGCACCAGGGGTCGCCACTGTGCACCAGGGGTCGCCACTGTGCACCAGGGGTCGCCACTGTGCACCAGGGGTCGCCACTGTGCACCAGGGGTCGCCACTGTGCACCAGGGGTCGCCACTGTGCACCAGGGGTCGCCACTGTGCACCAGAGGTCACCGCTGTGCACCAGGGGTCGCCACTGTGCACCAGGGGTCGCCACTGTGCACGGCCCTCAACACTGTGCCAGGTTGACTGAATCTCTTCCCACACTTGGGACCCTCGTGAAGTTTATCACCTGTATGCACTACCATGTGACTAACATGTGTTCACTAATGTAAACAGACTACTGCACAATTGCTACGTCAACTGACTCCATATTGTAATAGTCTATGCCTGTTATTCTAAGATATCAGTCACCTTTCTTGCATTCATTTGTTGATTTCCATGAACGCTCTAATTTTGTTAACCTTCTTCTCGTTAGTGTTAAGAGTTTTACCCCCCCCCCCCCCTCACACTTTGTTAAATTTGTTGTCTGTTTATTTTATGTTTTGTCCAAAACGCTGTACATAATAGTGGCTTCATTAGTGTGTGTAACTCCTGTCTCTACAGCTGGGCATTATTACTCTTATCTTCTTTGTACCTCGGCTCTCCACATATGTCAGTTGCGTAATTTAGAAACTGTACTTGTGGTCGATCTCGAACCCATTATTGATGTGACGACTTATACTGAATTTTGTACCTTTGCTTTATTCAAAAATAACACCAAAAATTACCTAATTTCCTCCTCATAGTTTCCTACCTTGTGCCTCAAACTCCCACTGAACCTTGTACTACCCACTACCCCAATATTAGTACTTAAGACATATATCCTTACCAGTGTAATCACCTCTGGCAACTTATGTTATTGTTGCTATAAACCCTTGCCACAATGGTTCATCTTGCCTGATATGTTAGGGGCCTGCGTGAAGTGCTGCGTGTTACTGGCTTGGTGAGAGTACCAGTCTTATGTGATCTCACCAACCCATTGTATCTTATTGTGAATAATTATTATTATAGAGGGAGATGCTGCTGAGCTACGCCCGGAGGGGGAGTGGGGAGGACACCAGACGGTTGGGCTCCCCTGCTGACCAGAGGCGTCTGCCCCCCACCACACCACCACGGCCCCCCACCACACCCGCCGCCCCACCTCAGGTTAGTACCCCACAGGCCAGCGTCACCCGCACCTGTGGCCGGCTTCCTCACACTGGGTAAATATAAGTATTGCCAGTGACGTACGCAGCCAGCCAGCCGTGCCCATGCGGGATATTATTGGATAAGTAATTAGGCTGGCACCAGTTGGGTGCCACGGAATTTCACACACTAGGAAGGCCTAGTGTGTTATTTAAAGATATATGCTATGTGGTCTTCCAATGAGCCAGCCCTCCAGTGGCCTTAAAAGCCTGTGCCGACATGAATATTATCAGGTCATATTGACGTCACACACATTGTGCACATTTTATAATGAGTAAGCAGAGAAGGAAGTGTCTTTTAAAGTCATGTATACCAATAATGATTGAATTACATACAAAGTAAATGAACTCATGGAATGGATAAAGGAGAATAATTGCACTTATAGAAATGAAACAGTCCAGTCATCTAATACTGTTTTCCCCCAAGACTACTATGTTGTCAGGGCAGGCAGAGGAGGAGATGTCCTGTTGATGCAAGAGGACTTGACTTTGAAGGAGCTGTCATCCCACATTTGGAAGGATTCAGTGGCTATATAACAGGAACCACAACAACGGGAGGGCTTAAGATGATAGCTGTGAACTATAATCTTCCGCAAAACAGCAGACAATCCAGGCAGGAGTCTGACAGAAATGATAAAATATTATTACTACCTTGGAAAGAGCTGCCACTGTTGCAAACAGGAATGGTTCTCGACTCCTGATCAGTGAAGACTTCAGTGACGGTGAAGTAGATTATGAGAACAAGTAACCCCATGCGGGTACCCATACGTGAAGAGCTTCTCGTAGAAGAAGTAACGAGAAACTTCCTAAGTCAACATGTCAGTGGACCGACAATTAAGCATGACGGACCTGCCAGGCTTGACCTGGTATTCACACAGTGAGTCACACACATAAAGGAAATCAATTTCTTACCCCATTTGCAAGCGAGCGATCACTGTGTAGTGGCACTTGAGTATGTTGTGGAAGTATAGGAATTTATTCTTTAGGAAAAATGCCATGACAAAAAGATAGCATACCAAAAGGGAGAGTATGATAAAATAAGATACCATCTGTCAAAGATGTATTGGGAGGTAAGACCTAGGCGTCCTCACAGGCATTATGGACTTATTCCACGAGAAATGCTTGGAAGCAGCTGGTAAATTTGTTCCTCTTGAGAGAGAGGAGAATGAAAGGGACAAGTCCAAAATCAAATCAAAAATCAAATCAAAATGTTTATTCAGGTAAAAGTTCATACGTAGAAGATGCGTCACAAACATAATGTTGTATTTATAGATAGAACTAGTACATACAATACCTAAAGCCACTAACAGACACACAGCGTTTGGGCAAGGGACCAGGACTTAACAATGACGTCAGGAAGCAAAGGGCATAAGGATGAAGGCGTAGAAGACTACAAGAACAACAGTAGAGAGAAGTACCAGTAGGTCAGAGATGATCACCTCAGAGTAAGTGCAGGTGAAACAGGAAAGCAGTCTGAAAAGGGCATTACAACCCAAGCAATAACCCAACACAAAATGCTTCACAACTACATCACGAGGAAAACAACTGTTAAGGAACAAGTAATGAAAATGATAAGACATATGTTGACCAGACCACACACTAGAAGTTGAAGGAACGACGACGTTTCGGTCCGTCCTGGACCATTCTCAAGTCGATTCAATCGACTTGAAAATGGTCCAGGACGGACCGAAACGTCGTCGTCCCTTCAACTTCTAGTGTGTGGTCTGGTCAACATACTTCAGCCATGTTATTGTGATTCATCGCCTGATAAGACGATGAATCATTCTCATTCACTGAGAATGACAGAGAAGTGTGTGACAAACTCAAGAGAACATACCAGGAAGATCTTGAAGAACTCCAGGTTGTAATCCTTTTCACCATGTCTTGGCCTGAGTGTCTCGGACGTCTGCCTGGGAACACCCACCCCCATAGGTTCGAATCCTCACCACGGCCCTTCGGATTTTCTCATTAATTATTGTGTTGTTAGTGATAATTATTGTTGTGTTAATATTAATTATAGTAATAATTACTTTGGTGTTAATATTATAGTAATATTAATTATTGTAATAATAAATACACAAAATTTCATTTTTTTTTTTAAGGCTGGTGAAAGGTCGTGGTCGAACACCTCGCTGAACCTCAACTGAGGCGTCGCCCCTGAGAGCTGTGAGGGACGGTGCAGGAGTCATCCCCTGCCCCTGAGAGCTGTGAGGGACGGTGCAGGAGTCATCCCCCGCCCCTGAGAGCTGTGAGGGACGGTGCAGGAGTCATCCCCCGCCCCTGAGAGCTGTAAGGGACGGTGCAGGAGTCATCCCCCGCCCCGTGCTCAGGGGTAACCCCTCTAGCACTAACTGACGCAGTCTCCAGCAAGAAACACAACATTGCAGTTATATTCCATTTACTGCCACCAGATAAATATTGGACTAGGCTTCACTAACAAGAAGACTTTAGGTCCTGTTAATTATAATGAAGACGCCTGTTACTTATCCAGACAAACAAACAAGGTTGATGGCACTTCATACTTGTATCTCAAATTGATGTATAATATTTAGTGTGTTTTTTGTTCATATGATTTGGAGTTTGTTAGTCTTTAAACATAGAAAACATTGAAGGGAGACTCAATTATATCTTTATATAAGATATATTATATATAAGGACAAGTTGGGTGATGCTCCAATTGTATAAGAACTGTTCTTATGATAATACATTTCATTCACTTAGGCACGAAGACTCGAACCGTCTGTCTCTATCTGTCTCTCAGACATTGTGCAGCAGTACTCTAGAGTGGAGTACTGCTGCACAATGACAGCACTTTTCAAAGCTGGAGAAATTGCTGACCTGGAGAGCGTGCAGAGATCCTTTACTGCTTGAATCCATTCAGTAAAACATCTAAACTATTGGGACCGACTAAAGAGCCTAAATCTGTACTCCCTTGAGCGCAGACGGGAGAGGTACATAATAATTTACACGTGGAAAATAGTAGAGGGGCTGGTCCCAAACCTGCACACAGAAATAACATCACATGAGACCAGAAGACATGGCAGGATGTGCAGAATAACCCCGTTGAAAAGCAGAGGTGCAACAGGTACTTTGAGAGAGAACTCTATCAACATCAGAGGCCCAAGACTGTTCAACACGCTTCCGCTACACATAAGGGGCATAACTGGCCGACCCCTCACAGTGTTCAAGAGAGAACTGGATAAGCACCTCCAAAGGATACCTGATCAACCAGGCTGTGACTCATACGTCAGGCTGCGAGCAGCCGCGTCCAACAGCCTGGTTGATCAGTCCGGCAACCAGGAGGCCTGGTCGACGACCGGGCCGCGGGGACGCTAAGCCCCGGAAGCCCCTCAAGGTAACCTCAAGGTAACCTCTCTCTCTCCAAACACGGGACGGGGCGTGTGTCTGGGATGGACAGTATGACGTAATAAATACACATTACATACCATTGTAGTCAAAATGTGATATATTATTTAAATTTTGTGGACATCAATGCGTAATGTTTAATATTATATTAAGAAACACAAAGAAACACATCCTAATCCAATTAATATAATCAAAGAATCGTCGTGAGGTTCCATTTCACTTATGCCGTCCCGAACCCGACTACGTTGGGCATGTACCCCACGGTAATTAAGGTGCAAAGTTGAGTGAGGCTAACCCCAAGCGTCTGACCTCCATCCTCGAGCAAACAACACAGACATTCCAATGTGTAGATGTAGATTATAAATGATGACAGCAATTTTCTACATTTTTGCTTTTGATTCACAAAACTTTTATTATGTTGGAAACTGTCCATTAATCCACTAAGACAATAATATAAGAGGAATGGCAGCCAGGTATTAGTGGTAAGCCAATAAGAGACGCACATGTGCTGCAATGTTGTCATATCAAGCTCCGTTCACGAACCTTAATGCTGTAAAATGTATATAGCTACATGAGCATAGAGAAGCTAGACTAGGTCTAGGTATCATCTCTGTAGCACAGTGAACTAAGGCTGCGCATGCTAGACCTGCTTGTTGTGTCTACACTCTTATTACTGCTGATAATTCTTGCCTCTCATCTATCTTATGAAGCTTTATTAGTGTGTGAATAATATATAAGTGTTGAGGCCATGGGTTAGTGTTGAGGCCATGGGTAAGTGGGTAAGGTCATATGGGGTAAGTGTTAAGACCATATGTAAAGGTTCTTTGGAAATGTTAAACTATTTTATGTGATCAGTGAGCAGCCCGGCAACAGTTATGGCTAATGGAATAAAACATGCGCATCGCTTTTCTGTTTTGTCACCTTCTTGTTTACCTAAATCCTTACATAATCACGAATAATGTGGCTAAGTTGGCATAAGACGCACACAAAATGTGTGTAGTTTTAAAGAGAAACAGCTCCGTGGTGTCGCCTTGCCGTGGTGAGGGGCTCAGATACACCTGCCTGGGACCGGTGAGGGGCTCACATACACCTGCCTGGGACCGGTGAGGGGCTCACATACACCTGCCTGGGACCGGTGAGGGGCTCGCATACACCTGCCTGGGACCGGTGAGGGGCTCGCATACACCTGCCTGGGACCGGTGAGGGACTCGCATACACCTGCCTGGGACCGGTGAGGGGCTCACATACACCTGCCTGGGACCGGTGAGGGGCTCACATACACCTGCCTGGGACCGGTGAGGGGCTCACATACACCTGCCTGGGACCGGTGAGGGGCTCACATACACCTGCCTGGGACCGGTGAGGGCTCCATCACCTGCCCCTCTTTGGGTGGTGTACGTGCACATGGGCACCAACATGGGAGCCTTGTGAGTCAACGGACCGCCCGCTGTAGGGGCCGCCCTGAGTGGATGGTTGGGTGTCCAGGCTGGGGCGAAAGGGAGACTGGGATCTTTGCACCAGTGTGGGAGAATGGACGAGGCAGTAGGACTCTCCTGTTGAAAAAAGGGGAACACCGCTGAGGACGACGCACCCTTCCTGCACTGGCCCGCGCTTGACCTTCCTGGCTGTCCTAGTAGGTGGTAGCCCTTGGCTCCAGGCCCCAGACTTTTAAAATAATATATGGAAACTGAACCAACCTCTCTAACCCAGGCTCGTGGGGTGGGCGACCAGGCCCCCACCCACCCCAACAAGTCGGACTGTGATGGAAGACTGAGCTCTGTAGCCTCTGCTACATTGGGCTTGTCTCATGTGATTTTTGGGGGGCACCGGACTGACGATGACAGATCAAACGCCTCGTCAGCTTGGTCGACGTTATACCTATGTACTTAGAGTGAAGGTTACATCCTCCGTGGGGGCAAGTGTACATGTATACAGGGGGCAAGTGTACATGTATACAGGGGGCAAGTGTACATGTATACAACGCTTGACTGCTGTAGAGGGTTCTCCGTCGGCTTCGGCCTGTTTTTAATAAGGAGGTCGGTATAGTCTTCTTTGTTTTATAGAATATGATTAGGCCTATGTTTTGGTTAGCAGTTATGCTTTTTACTCCTTTACGGATTATTTCTTTCATTATTCGTTTCTCTTATTTTATGTTCACTGTGCATGATGGATTTGTAATATAATTTTATATAAGGTGTTGTGGTTTCTGTTCTTGGTTCAGGATTGTATTATCGGTCCAAGTGTCGTCTTATTGTAGTGTTTATTTCCGTGTTGCTGTAGCCATTGTTCACCAACACCCGAGTTATTCTTCCAAACTCCCTACTCACGTTGTTCCATTCAGAGCTGTGGGTAAGAACTCGACGAATATAAACGTTGAGAACACTGGCTTTGTATCTTTATGGGCACTTACTCCTACCATTTAGGCATAATCTTATGTTTGTAGGCTTAGTATAAACGCTGGTGCTTAGAGAGGCTCCTGTTTTTGTTAATATATATATATATATATATATATATATGTCGTACCTAGTAGCCAGAACGCACTTCTCAGCCTACTATGCAAGGCCCGATTTGCCTAATAAGCCAAGTTTTCCTGAATTAATATATTTTTTCTAATTTTTTTCTCTATGAAATGATAAAGCTACCCATTTCATTATGTATGAGGTCAATTTTTTTTTATTGGAGTTAAAATTAACGTAGATATATGACCGAACCTAACCAACCCTACCTAACCTAACCTAACCTATCTTTATAGGTTAGGTTAGGTTAGGTAGCCAAAAAAGTTAGGTTAGGTTAGGTTAGGTAGGTTAGGTAGACGAAAAAACCTTAATTCATGAAAACTTGGCTTATTAGGCAAATCGGGCCTTGCATAGTAGGCTGAGAAGTGCGTTCTGGCTACTAGGTACGACATATATATATATATATATATTAGTATATTTTGGTAGCAGTCTTTCCTGTAGACATATTTTATTAAATATGACCGAAAAAGTAAGATTAATAATTCTAACACGAATTTTCTCAATCTTTCGTACATTATGCTTCACTGTTGGAGGTAAATCAAAAATCACTTCTCCAAAATTCATTTTTATTTCTAGTCTGACGCGACACGGGCGCGTTTCGTAAAACTTATTACATTTTCAAAGACTTCACAAATACACAACTGATTAGAACTTGCATTTCCCTGATTTTATATCTACTTTTGAGTGAGGTGGGAAGGGTGATGTGGCATTACATTTGAGTGAGGTGGGAAGGATGATGTGGCATTAGAGGATATTAATAGGGTATTAAAAGTATCAACACAAGACAGAACACGAAACAATGGATATTGAATAGAAGTGTTTGTAGAAAGCCTATTGGTCCATATTTCTTGATGCTTCTATATTGGAGCGGAGTCTTGAGGTGGGTAGAATATAGTTGTGCAATAATTGGCTGTTGATTGCTGGTGTTGACTTCTTGATGTGTAGTGCCTCGCAAACGTCAAGCCGCCTGCTATCGCTGTATCTATCGATGATTTCTGTGTTGTTTACTAGGATTTCTCTGGCGATGGTTTGGTTATGGGAAGAGATTATATGTTCCTTAATGGAGCCCTGTTGTTTATGCATCGTTAAACGCCTAGAAAGAGATGTTGTTGTCTTGCCTATATACTGGGTTTTTTGGAGCTTACAGTCCCCAAGTGGGCATTTGAAGGCATAGACGACGTTAGTCTCTTTTAAAGCGTTCTGTTTCGTGTCTGGAGAGTTTCTCATGAGTAGGCTGGCCGTTTTTCTGGTTTTATAGTAAATCGTCAGTTGTATCCTCTGATTTTTGTCTGTAGGGATAACGTTTCTATTAACAATATCTTTCAGGACCCTTTCCTCTGTTTTATGAGCTGTGGAAAAGAAGTTCCTGTAAAATAGTCTAATAGGGGGTATAGGTGTTGTGTTAGTTGTCTCTTCAGAGGTTGCATGGCTTTTCACTTTCCTTCTTATGATGTCTTCGATGAAACCATTGGAGAAGCCGTTATTGACTAGAACCTGCCTTACCCTACAGAGTTCTTCGTCGACTTGCTTCCATTCTGAGCTGTGGCTGAGAGCACGGTCGACGTATGCGTTAACAACACTCCTCTTGTACCTGTCAGGGCAGTCGCTGTTGGCATTTAGGCACATTCCTATGTTTGTTTCCTTTGTGTAGACTGCAGTGTGGAAACCTCCGCCCTTTTCCATGACTGTTACATCTAGAAAAGGCAGCTTCCCATCCTTTTCCGTCTCGTAAGTGAAACGCAGCACGGAACTCTGCTCAAATGCCTCCTTCAGCTCCTGCAGATGTCTGACATCAGGTACCTGTGTAAAAATGTCGTCAACATACCTGCAGTATATGGCCGGTTTCAAGTTCATGTCGACTAAGACTTTTTGCTCGATGGTACCCATGTAGAAGTTTGCAAACAGGACACCTAGGGGAGAACCCATAGCGACCCCATCTACTTGCTTATACATATG